ATTTTATTATTCATACAATTCTGAGTAGGTAAAGATTTTGCTAGTCTTATCTCTTCAAATATATTATGTTAATAACTTTAAGCCGAGTTCATTATTAAGACCTTGACATATAATAGTAATATACAGTTTTTTAGATTCAAAATTATAAATATGATTATTTTAGAATAGAATAATCTATATAACTTTCGCCATTATTTAGTATACACTGGAGACGACCTCGAAAAAAATCGGTTAAAAATTTATCGGTTTTTTTAAACCCATAATCGCACTCAAATACTACCTTTTAAGAGATAAGCAGCAGTATTAAATTTCTATTTTATATAGTAATATGGATTATTACTATGTCGCTGATAAATAAGATACCGTTTTTATGCTTTAATCTACTATTTATCTATACTAATATTATAAGGAGGCAGAGTTTGTTTGTTTGAACGCGCTAATCTCAGGAAGTACTCGTACTAATCTGGTTTGAAAAAAGTTTTTTTACATTAGATAGTTCGCTTATTGAGGAAGGTTTTAGACTATATAATATATATCATATAACATATAGTCTATATATTCCATACTAATTGTTAAAGCGTATATAGGGCGAAGCGAACCCAAGCGAAGCGAAGGTGAGTCGTTAGTCTATAATAAGCTTATGAATAAGTCGAAAATATAAAAATCACTAACATTTTTATATACTAAATTAAATTAATTTAAATTGATCATAAAAAGCTTTTTATATTACATTAATTAAAACGTTATACACATCAGTGCAAAAATGTTTGAAATTTCAGTTGCGATGCCAATTTACGATCTTCATCTGGATTTTTTGCAGCCATATTCTTCATAACATATCTATAAGTATATTTTTATATTTTAAAACATAAAATATATATTTGCAGCTCATTATTTTATAAATTTTGATTGATATAATAAAATAATGGCGACATTCGTAAATGCTACTCAGACAATCAACTATAAATGTTCTAGAACGTAATATATTATCATATAAATAAAATCTGTGATTTTTCTGCATGTGTTAGATACGTAGTACATTATATCTAGGCGTGTTTGTGTTGCGTTTTGCATTTTATCTCTTCTTGATTATATTACTTTTTTTTTCTATTTTCAACCGACTTCAAAAAGGAGGAGGTTCTCAATTCGACTGTATTTTTTTTCCACCTGCAATCAGATTTACAGCATCATCTCATGAATTAAGAGTTCCACTAGATACCTTTAAGAATGTAATTTATTCAAAATTTGCTGAAATATTCATATTTTGCTCAAGATCTCTTCTCGTCTCGTTAACAAATGAATGGTGTCATAGAAAACATTGAAATAATCAGTTATATTAATATCTAACCAAAGTTTTTATCGCAATAAAATGTATATTTTTTTTCTTTTTTTGTAATCACTTAGAACAAGTCATATACATAGAATGTTAAAGTTCAAGTATTTTTTATTACTTATAAGGTCAGTTCGAATGACTGACTGACCTAAGAGTAGTAATTTAGACTCGGTCTATTCTAGAAAATCTTATAAATTATATTTTTTTCATGTTAGTTTTGTTTAGTAAAAGATTTTAGTTTCGAAATTCATGTATTTTTGTTAAAATCTCCTATCATCGATATCTCAAAAAGTAGATCTACTATTGGAATCCAAAAATTTGGCTCCAAAAATATGTAAAAAAATCCGCGATATAATCCGAAAAGATAGTTTTATTTAATATCTATATGTCTAGTTATTATATAAAGATTTATTCACAATTTTATTGTATCTATAATAAATAAAATCTATAAGATGTTTTCTTATCTTCTCAATACTCAAATAATAAATTCTTTGGAGCGATTCTCATAAGATTTCTAAGACGTTATGATATCTTACTTCTTACTAATATTATAAATGTGAAAGCTTAGATGTTTGGATGGATGTTTGTTACTCAATCACGCCAGAACGGCTGAACGGATCTGGATAAAATTTGACACAGAGATAGATTATAGTCTGGAATAGCACATAGGCTACTTTTATCTTAGAAAAATTTAACGGTTTTCTTGGGATAGATTTGTTTTCGTATTTCTAGAGGTGAACCCGAGCGAAGCAAGGTTGATCCGCTAGTTAAATCATATTGACAAACTAGTTTTGAGGAAGTATCAAACCGTGAAGCTTTAAGATTAAAAAAAAGGTTTTAAAAGAAACTATTAATGATTTGACTTTCGACATCGATTTTAAAGGCTAAATAATTTGAAAGCCATTTAATAAGTAAATTTAATTTAACTTGTAAGCAATGCGATTTATACATATTTATATAGAAAATATATATAATAAATACAAAAATAAATCGTGTTAAAAGTATGTTTTTGAGATGTTTACCTAAAATTTATATTAAAAAATTTAAATTACATATAACAGAGTTGTTGTATATAGTTAGATTAATTTATAGAATTGTAAATTAACGTTATGGGGTATATAATCTTAGATTAAGAAGGAATTTTTCACATAAACATGAAAATATTTGCTAAATCTCATGGATTCAATGATGTTAATTACCAACATAATTAAGCTAATTTTAGATTTACGCGAATATTTTACATTTTAAATCTATTGTTTCGGATTTTTTCGCGGTTTTACTTTGATTTTTGGTTTCCCAACGTTTTGAATGCTTTACAGTAAACATGATCACGCGAGAGCTTTAATATTTTTCTCATTTTTATTTAATTAAACTAATTAACTAATTCTGCTTTGTACTAAAAATATTTAGGAAAGATTTAGAAAAATAAGTGTGTTTCCGCCTTAAGCGTCCGATGAGTCAGCGACGTCTCGTCGAATGCGTTTGCGCAACACTCACACACTTACATTCCGTTTAACTTACTTATTAGTCATACGTTATAAGTTATCTTAGAAACTTAGATCTAGTGGTGTTAAGTAAAGGAGAAATGGTTGCCGTTTTAACAAATATTACAGTGAAATTAAAATGTTGATACGACAAGGATGTCAATAAACTTACACCTGTTAGCATATGGCCGTGTTAGTCCATATTATGTGTGAGATTTAATAGAAACGCTCAGTTTCTTGTAACAATTTGCGCATAAGAATGCGCTATTAATATTTCGAAGCGAAGTATATTAGTTGACGACCAATTCGTTAGTGATCCTAGTATCTGTTATACGCAGGAGATAATAGGTTCAAATCCCACGCCTTGCGGCCAAAATGAAGATTTTTTTTATTAATTTTGATCGTGATATATCTTTGTGATATATCATATCATATAGAAGTTATTCCCAGTTAGATTGATACAAAACTTGGTCTTTTTAGCCATTTAAGGAATAAAAACTGCATTGAAATATTATTTTAACACAGATTAGAAGGGGTCTTCATAGTGATTCCACTCATTTTTAATGTATTACTCGTTTTTTTATTTATTTGAGAAACAATAATTAATTTTATGTGTGAATCTTAGTTATATGGATACCGGTTTTTTTATGACAATGAATTCTTAATCTATTTTCGTAAGTATATATAATAGGATAATGTCTATTTTATTCATAATCTGGACGAGAATATTGTTCTAATAAGAAATCTTACTTAATCTGTTACAAATAAATAACATTTTATAACACTAGCGATTATCATTAATTCATTAACATCACCATAATTATTATTGAAAATTTGAGGAAAACAGGTATATGAATAGAATTTACTTACTTATGTATATTAAAACTGACTTTTTCCAAGATTTTTGTATTTTATCACTAAACGAGGCTTTAGTGTCAATAGTTACAAAACAAAAAAGTCGTTTGACAAACCTAGGACTTTCATATACTCGTATGTACAATTTTACTATATCCTTAAGGCCGTCTCAGTGAGGCCATGTCGCTAATATCCTACGTAAAAAACTATATAGATAGAAAATTTCATTTAAAAAAGAAAATATTTTTATAGTTTTTTCCGTAGAATAAGCCGTTCTGGAGATATTGAATAAAAGGCGTTTTTCATGATAGCGGCGCCAGCGCCTCTCGAGCGACCCCTTGAACTAGGCTTTACTTAGAAAATGCCCCTTTATCGAATGGCATTATCGCGAAAATTGCTTCATTTTATGTAGATTTCGCTGTTTTTTTATCTATATTTTTTATACGTGCTTAGTGAGTGACATTTCAGTTTTAAATATTGTGTGAAAATTATCCTCTCTTATTAATCCGCACCGATTCTCTTGATATTTGTCGCAGACTTCCTTATGGTAATCATAAATGATTTATCAAACTACATACATATATGTATATTGTATATTATTATTATATATTTTTTAGTAATTTTGGAAATAAATTGTTAAGTAATAGTATAACTCTTAATTATTTAGTTTTCAGAAATTGCTTAGTTCCTTTTCGTTCGTTCGTTCTTATATTAAACTAGCATTGCCCGCGGCTTCGCCCGCGTTCAGATGAACAAAAACCAGATTCTTAGGTTTTACATATTAGTATACTCTTATAGCAGATCTAACAAAAAATGGAAAATATATTATAGTTAAAAAACTAAAAAATCGAACTAAAAAATAAAAAATAATTTTTAGTATAAGAATAAGATTAACGAGAAAATTAATGTTATTGTGAAAAAGAGAATAATAATTATAAGAGTTAGTATAAAATATTGTACTTTTACAATAATTTTCTCCTCAGTCATATTATTGTTATACAAAAAAATATTTTTTACTTTTTAATTCGGTTTATCATTAAAGCGTGTGTTTTTTTAAACTATATTTTTTTATTACTACCAGAAACGGTCATACTTAAAAAAAATCTATACTACTAATTCTTACAGTTACTATTTCCTTATGTTTAGCGAAAAAAAGACAATAATATTAATATTATTTTTATTAAGACTGTTGCTATTGGTACTTTAATAGAGCAACTGCCTCGGTGGTGTAGTGGCTAGCATGTACGGCTGCACACCCGGAGGTCCTGGGTTCGAGTCCCTGGTCGGGCCAAGTTTAGTTATTGAGTCTTCCTGTATAGTAAGTCTCAGTAACAGCCCGGAGTTGGGAAGTTGGCGGTGTTCCACCCCCGTGCCTCGGAGAGCACGTAAAGCCGTCGGTCCTGCGCCTTAACTCTCACCGGTCGTGTCGAGTGGTCGTCCCACCGGAGTATGAGAGTGATAGGAATAGAGAGTGCACGTTGTGTCTGCGCGTGCACTTGTGCACTATAATATCTCCTGCGCAGTTGGCTAATCTCATTGAGATTGGCCGCCGTGGCCGGAATCGGCTAGGAGAACATCATCATCATCATCAATAGAGCAAATAACAAATAAAGGAGGCTGTTGCTATTAGTACAATAAATTGATGAATAAATAATATAATATTATTCGTCCGTCTATTGTCGGTTTTTACGAGTATATACGATTTTGTTTTCTAATGTAAAATAAGTGATTTTTAGGTGCAGGAGAATCTATATGCAAAAAGAAAACCCTGACCTACCGAGCCGGAAACTTACGAGTATTCTTTTAAATCTCAACGATTTTTAAGTTCAAGAGTTTTTATGGTTAAAAAAAGTATTTTTGGGTGAAGGAGTTTCTGTATGCAAAAAAAATATCTTAACATACCGAGCAGAGCCGAGAAACTTATTCTACTTACTTACTTATTAGTTTATTCGACCTTTCTCATAATTTATATATTTTATAAAGGACGAATAATAATAATTTTTTATTCGTCCTATTAAATGACGAATAGACGTTCAGTTTTATTAATATTCAAATATGTAATCAGCCATATCTAAATTACTTTGCAAACCACGTAGTGAATAGATTTATATGGAGTCAGTGTAAGCTAGGAATAAAATTAAAAAGACTTGATTTCTCACGCCCGTAAAGAAGGCATCTAAAGTTTTTAAAGCGATGACTAATTTCTAACTTAACCTTTAGTCATTGTGCAATATTTGCACGTATTTATATTTTTTATTAAAATACTAGCGGTTCACCATTGCTTCGCTTGGGTTCGTCGCTAGTGAAAAAAACAAACCTATCACACGGGACCCGTACATTTTTCCGGGATAAAATGTATTTCAGACTATAATCTATCTCTGTGCCAAATTTCATCCAGATCGGTTAAGCCGTTCTGGCGTGACTGAGTAACAAACATCCATCCATCCAAATTGCATCGTATATATATATATGTCGCATTTATATATGTAGTAGTAAGTTTTGTAGTTTCGTGAATATTTGATATTTTAAATAATCCTACTATCTTTCGTATTTTGTTCCGGCAAGATATATATATATATATATATATATATATATATATATATATATATATATATATATCTCTCTGTCCTGTATATATATAATAATAATTTTTATATATATATTTATATATATAATAATTTCAGTATCACTAAATAAAATAAGTAAAAGAAATCTTCATGTTATATAATACAATTATTAGTATGTAATAGAACCCACAAGATCGTTCTGAGGCTTTAAAATGACTTAAAATAATATTATTTTATTCAAAAAAAATATAAAACAGCAATCATAAAATTGAACATATTATTATTTACCGGTTGACGCGTTGATAATTGCTTGCTTGACTCTAATGTTGTTTTTATATGACTTCTTGTGAGATTATAATTAATATCTCGTCCCATTGTAGAGCAGTGCAATGTTGCCATATAAAGATATTAGGAAATCTTGTAAATTAATTCTATTGTACTAACATAGCCTGTTTTTAAATTGTTGTTTTTATTGAACTATCATACTGTATCTAATTAAACACAATCTATATAAAATTGATTTGATAGCTCTCATACTAACTTTTTGTATCTAAGCAAGTATAAATAAGATTGGAGTGTATCTAGTGATTTAAAACAAGTTTTTTTTTTGCCAATGCATAAAAGCAATTGTAGAGTGTCTTTGTGATACCAAAATGAACTAAATGGATATTTAGAATAAACTAACGACCACTTTAGGAGCTTATTAAGAAATGTGTATAATTATCACAATGTTAACTATGAATAGTGGACAAAATTTCAAAATATTCCGTTTAAATTAAAATATTATCTAACTCTACCTTAAAAACGTTCACAAAACTTACGTTACCAAAATCGCAATCATAGATATCTCACGTGAAGTAAAGAAATCGTCTTAAAAATATATTAATTACTGTACAATTGATCATATCTATCTACTTCCTATACAATTAAAAAGGAAATTTAGTTGTGGAATAACATAAAGTGACTAAACATCCGCCGAGACGTCTAAACAAGTTTTTATGCTCAAACATAATCTAAGTAAAAGGCAGAAATTGGACTATTGCAGACTGTTCCGACAGCCATTTTTACCTCGCATATCCGACTCGGTTCCCACGGCGTCCACAAACAGGTTATTATTAAAACACTTCGCTAAAACCATTCAAATCTAAACCTAATCATTGTGTGATAAAATAGATTTTTCATTGAACTCGCACTAAAACACTCTACGTACAATATACATGAATATAAACTCTATCTCATTGAAATAGAGTTTGAAATTGTATATCATATATAATACAAGTGAGTACAATTTGAAATTCCTATTTGAAATCATCGGTGAAGGATTTTAGGTTCTCTCTCCGTTGTTTAAGACTTCTTAACTTATATAGCGGTAAAATTTTGTTTTATAGAGTGGATGTATGAACATATTAATTGTGTGTTAGTTGAATGCTACTAGAATTATGAATCTGCGATAACGACCTGAATAAGTAAGAGATAAACGTGCTTAATGCATTTTATGTGACCAACAAAGTGATCTATGATAGCTCTACCTTTGTTTTTGTTTGGCATGATACGTTTAAATGAATATTTGTACATATAATATTATCTAATTATTTTTACTTAGGATTTGAAGTAAATCCATTTCTTTTCTCTATAAGAGCTTCTTACAACCAAATTATTAATTTAAACATCGTAAACTACAAATTAACGTTTGTTCATTATTATTATATGATCATTAAAATTATCATCATTCTTATGTCATTATTTAAATCAAGTTAAGAATTTGAAGCAAGAGTCCCGTCCCTAATATATTATTTAAGTGTATATTTTAGCATTTGTATTAAATTATGAGTATTAGCATTTATTATAGATAACTAAATCACTAATTGACCTTGAATATTATAAAAGATCTATAATTAAGCTACTAATAATTTATTTTGTATTATTTTAAAATAAATTTCTTATAAAGTCTGCGTGGGCGCATGACATATTGCTTTGTGCTTTATCAAATATTGTGATACATTCAATGAGTTTATATTATTCCGGATGACGTTTGAGTGATGTAGTGTAATTACAAATGTCAATACTTTGTTAAATAATCAAATGTGAATTTAAAGATTAAAATAAATTAATCAACTAATCAGACGACACGTTTGGCTCAGTTTGTAGTGACCCTACTTGCTGTTGCCAGCGGTCGCGGGTTCGAGTCCCGCTTGGGGCATTCATTTGTTTGATGACGAATGTTTGTACTCCAGTCATGGGTGTTCATATTCATAATATGTATGTATTTAAAGTTATATATGTGTAGTGTATCAACTATCTGGTATCCGTAACACAGGCCTCGTAGCTTACCATGGAACTAGATGGTGCTGTGTGTAATGTCCCAACATATTGTCCCAACATTAACTTATTAAAAATAGAAGATTTTAATGTATGTTTTTGAAAATATGTAATACATATATAAGTTAATGCTGTTAGATCATGTTTTTTCCATTGAACGTATCAGGTTCGATTTTGTGCAATATAAAACTGTCTTATAAAAATGTATCTATTTAGTTACACTTTGAGAGACACTTATATATAGTATATCTTGATTGTTAATCAAAATAACAATGAACTCCTACGCAACTGTGCATTGAAATTAGGTAACCTAAGGAATGAGCAGGCGCAGGCGATGCAACGTAATCGCTTAGCCATCTTTACGATGAATCGTTTCATATTGCAATCGAGTATAATGTAGTTGAAATATTGTTTCCACTTCATAATATTTAGACACATTCAAACCTATTGTATTGTATTGTATATTGGACTCGTTTTCCGCACTTAGACTCGCATTTGGTCCGTTGTACGTTGCGAATCCTGGCTAGTTCAGCCAGCCTAACTTCGTCCAAAAGCGCAAAAGCTTCCTGGGAGCTTCACAGGCTTCGCGGAGCGACCTCACCGGTTCGAGGATTTCATTTCGTTGGGAAGTTACCGCTACGCATTCCAGGACTACGTGAGCGACTGATTCTACAGCGCTAAAACACCCTCTGCAGAGAGGGCTGTCCGTTGCGCCAATGTTAAATAAGTGTTTGTTTAAGGGACAGTGGCCCGTTATTGTCCCTATCATTATTTTGAGATTGGTTCTATTTAAGTTTAGTAGGCGTCATTCAAACCTAATAAACGATAAAAAATTATGAATTTTTTTTTGTAATAGGCCCCGGTCGACTAACTGGATCCCGAGAGCTTTTTTTGATAATTTAAACGTTTTCTGTACTCATTTATTATATTATATCTAATTACTTCTAAACTTTTAAAGTTTAACAAAATTTTTACTTACATATATTAGGTTGAAATTAGTCAAATATATATGTATACGTGTAGAGAAATTTTATCTATTCCCACATTTTGAGCTTAAAGCTTTATTTATTTTTTTAAAAGCTCATAATTGGTTTATAATATTTCATTAAACATTATGAGTATATTCACGCCATTCTTAAATCATAAAAACATCCGATGAATGACGTTCATTCAGGATTTCTTCCCCAGTTTCTTTTGTTTTCATCAATAGTATGTGTACCTATATTTAGTTAGGATAATGCGTAGGTTTAAGCATTTAATTTTAATTTAAGTACACAGCATTCACGTTTACAAATACCGGTAATAAATCGTTTAGAATACTGTCTCTAATTAATTATAATATTATTTAGCGGCTTTTGAATTGTGTTGGTATATAAATATGTACTATATACATAATTTCAATGGAAATATGTTGATATGTTTGTTTAATCGAAATTTTACGCATATTAGTGACATAAAGTCGTAAATAAAATGGCTGACGATATCAAAATAGCTACCGCATCTATAGCTCATTTTAATTAATTATACAATTATTATAGATTTTTAGTCAAATTTCTTCTTCTCTTTCTTCTTCAGCATACGGCGACATGTTTGGCTCAGTTTGTAGTGACCCTACTTGCTGTGCTAGCGGTCGCGGGTTCGAGTCCCGCTGGGGGCATTTATTTGTGTGATGAACACGAATGTTTGTACTCCAGTCATGGGTGTTTATATTTATAATATTATGTATGTATTTAAAAGTTATATATGTGTAGTGTGTTAACTATCTGCTATCTATAACACAGGCCTCGTAGCTTACCATGGAACTAGATGGTGCTGTGTGTCCATATCCCAAAAAAAGCATACCCTAAGCCATAGGGGTCGTGCTGTAGCTTAAATGTCACCTCTACTTTTACCCCTGAACCGCTGCTTTTACCCCTTTTGCTATAGAAGTTAGAAGATACATACTTGCTCTATCTGCCGCCAGAGAAGCCTTCCCTCCGATTATTTTACGGCATCTAATCCAAGCATGTGAACATGTTTCTAAAGTAGTATAATTTAAATACATTTTAAAAACTATCCAAGGTAAAAGTTATTTTAATTCCGGAAATTGTTTACACAATGATAGAGCGCTAAAGCTTTAGATATAAGGTATTGGTCCACTGAAACATTGTTATAATAAGAGTTTTTATAAGGTTTTAAATTCATACTTTGTCTAATAAAAATAATAGTACAAAATATTTTACTTTACTAATCATTGAGGGTGAAAAATAAGAGTTGGAGATAGCTCAAAGAAATTGTTGGCAAATTAAAACAGTCTTTTAAAAAAGATCCTTGCTGGGAATAGAACCCGTTGATTAACACTTTAATGCATCGGTCGCTAATACTACAACCAAACAATTTTTAGTTTACCATTGAATGATATTTCAAACTTATAAAACTTATTCATTTAATAAATAATAACTTTAATAAAAGTAAAAATGAAAATTAAACTATTTTCTTGATATTCCTATAATTCACAGACCTTTAACAATATAAGTATTTGTTTCTTTGTATTCACCTGTGTTATGGATGGTTGGTCTACTCTTATTTGTTTTAAAACATCGTTCCGATGTGTGCAGATAGTTAACTATGGTAATTGCAACAAACTCACAGCATGCAAAGGGTTAACATTGTACTTTAAACACCATAAACGTTGCTTATTTAAGTTAGATTTAGACTTTAGAAAATTACATTATGTTTATAACTATTTTAGTGCCCTATGTTTAAATTATGGGATCTTATTAAAGCACTCGCTGTAAGTACACACGTATATTTTTCTGATTATTTTTGCTATAGCAGATGTCCTTATATAACCAATTAAAAATGAATTAAACTTTATGGTATGGTATTAAAGTTCAAATTGACTTTTAAGTATTATTACGAATCTTTTGTATGGGAGTATAAAAAATTGTTGTTTTTAGACTTTTTTAGGCATTTTTTTAATTTTTTTCTCTCCATAAGGACCATCCTCGTACTTTAAGGAATATTCTAAAAAAAGAATTATCGAAATCGGCTCAGCTGCTCTCGAGATTTGCGCTTACCAACACATTCAGCGATTCATT